ATAGGAGGCTGATGATGAATACATTTTTAGCACTGGAGCCTGTGATATTAAAAAGTTATGGTTGAAATAATAGTGTTTTTCACAGCTACTGAAGTGAGGAGGTTGCCAGCCCACCCTATAAAATGCTGCATGACAGAATATCATTATTAGAATATACTTGATAAAGTAGCATTGTCTTTAATTGTGCATACAAAGATAAAAATGGTTTATTTATATTAACTGTATGGGGGGCAGAGGAATGGACTTTGAGAATAAGATACTTACACAAGATAACAATTAGAATGCTGGAAATGTTCTTCAGCTTACTTTTACTCACATAAGCAATCCCATGAAGTCAGTTGAGTTACTTATGGAGCTAATCTTGTGTATGTTTGCAGGAATGAGATCTGAGGTTGAACTTTATCCCCCAGGCACAGCTAGCCCATGTGGTCTGCAGGGATGCTAGTACCCTACAACCTGTATGCTGTAAAACTAGCCTGAGCCAATGTATTTGAGCCAGACAGTACAACAAATCACTTGAAAATTAAAAAGTGTCATTCAGTAGCCCATAAAGAAAAGAATTATGCAAAATGAGTATGTCAGGCAACTTCCAATAATAAATGTTTGTGGGTAGAAATGCCAAACCCCACAAGAACAGGATATTCACGTCACTTTAATATAAATATCCCTCAAATCTATAATTTGGTTTCATATTTGTGCTTATAGTTGTATCTTTTTACAAGAACACTATAGAAATCTACTACTGCCACTGAATTACCTTTTCTGGACATTGAAACATGCTAACAGGTGCTTATCTCACTATAGTACCACAAAACTGCAAGAACTTTACTCCAAACAAGTGTGTATCTGATATGGCATCTTTAAATTTCCCACCCAGCAGTTATGTAATCTATGCTACCATGTCCATTGGGAGAGTCTTGCACCCTTCTTCCATTCTAAAGCTTCATATAACTTAGAGAATAGCATGCCTACACTATATACAACTTTCTAAATACTAAATAAATGCTTAGTAGTGTCTCATCTGGATGCACCCACTGAGTATGCAAAACACATCAGCCCATCTTTATAGATACGCTGGCTCCACCTGTGGCCATTTTCACATGCTTCACAGGAAGGTGGAAACATTGTCAAAAGTCAAATTATACATTGGAAGGAAAAATTCCTTCCTGACCAGCAAAATAAACCCCTCACAGCCAAGCTCCAAATAAACTGGGTTGAGGCATGTCTTTTAAAATAGTATCCAATCATGCCGCAAAGACTTCAAGCAATCATGAGTTCATTGCCTTCCGGGTAATCCAGTCAATGTTTAATTACCCTCACTGCTAGGAAATTCCATCTTCTCTGAGTCTTGGAATAGAGGATCAATACAAACACACACCCAAATTTCACTCACAGAATATTTACCCACAAGTAGTCATATACGTATAATATATATCTGTGCGCAAAATAAGTAGTTAATGGGCTAATGTGCATAGAAATGGGTTTACATTTATATATATTCAATGTATATATTCTTTGTATTAGATTCCAAAACTTCTTGTTCAAATAGTTTCTATTATAACTAGACACATTTCCTTCTTTGAATGTCTTGAAATTCTTGGCTTCTATATCATTTCGCAGTGAGTTGCGTAATCTCACCATGAATTAAACTAACATGATTTCTTTTAATCATCTTTTATTATAGTTAAGATTACTCACTATCTTGGGTTTCATTCAATAATCCCCTGCTCTTTTATTATAATACAAGGAAAATAAAAGTTCCTGATTCCCATTCTTGATACTATTTGTGATTTAGCCATTATTTTTATTGTATCCCTTTGTATTCATCTCCTGGGAGATTAATACATCCTGGAGATTTATATGCACAATTCCCTTTGCCTTTAGAGAATAAACCATTCCATTTTTTTTCAATCTCTGTTCATATACAAGCTCTTTCTAAAATCTTTACTCATCTCTGAACCATCTCAAATTCTTCAATAGCAGTTCAGATAGGGCATCTAGTACTAAACTGTAATCCAGATGATGACAAATCAGTGCTTTATATATTGTCATTATACATTTCTAGATAATATTATCACCCATTCCTTAGGCATTCCAATTTTTTTGACTGCAGCTGCACTCTGAACTAGCTGTAATGAAGCCAAGACATCCTGGGGGTAATGCAGGTAACATTGCTACTATGAACTTCAGTTCAAATTGCCTCCAGTACATACTGTAGAGTGACAAGACTTGGCTCCTACCCCTAAAATAATAAATTGCCTAGTGATGTTTTTTTTATAATCTGGAGCTATTGGGAATGAGCTATTGTAACAAAGAAGCAACTTAAAATAATTTTCCCTTCTACTGAAACTTCACTGATGTTACCCAACACAGTTTATAAAACTAAGTCTCATGATGAGAGAAAATTATATATAGTGTAGGGATACCATTTTCTAAGTTATATGAAGCTTTAGAATGGAAGAGAGGCTAAAGGGCCTGAACCTATTCAGCTTCCACAAGAGAAGGCTTAGACGGGATCTGGTGGCCGTTTACAAATTCACCAGGGGGGACCAGCGGGAATTGGGAGAGGCTCTGTTCCCCCGGACACCACCTGGAGTTACTAGGAATAACATCCACAAATTGTTAGAGAGAAGGTTCAGGCTGGACATCAGGAGACATTACTTTACAATTAGGGCTGCCAGGCTCTGGAACGGGCTCCCAAGTGAAGTGGTACTTTCTCCTTCCTTGAAGGTCTTCAAGAGATGGCTGGACAGATATTTGGCTGGGGTGATATGATCCCAGCACCTGTTCCTGCCTGGGGCAGGGGGTCGGACCTGATGATCTGGTTAGGTCCCTTCTGACCCTAAGTACTATGATACTAGGGGTGCAAAGCACCCCTATTTAGTACTCATATAATTGAGTACTAAATAAATATGCAGTAACTGGAGTTACTGCGCAGTAGCACCAGTGAATGCCTTTTTAGTGATGCTACTGCACAGTAGCCTGATAATAGTATGCAGTAGCTTATTAGCACTATTGGTGCTATGATGCACTACTGTGCAGTATTGTTCAGCTACTGCATAGTTTGCATCTTGTGTAGATGCACCCAGCAATCACCATATATGGGAAGGCAGGACAGGGTGGCACCTTAGGATGCTGTTAGATGTCACAATTTGTACATGCTAAAACTATAAAATGTTATGCAGTATTAAAGTTAGAATGTGCTGCGCATGTTAATATTGTCTCTGACCTGCACAGCTCTGCCTTGCTGCTAGATGGCTGATGGGCAGGGGCATATCTAGCAGCTGCCAAGTCTGCCCTGTGGCTCCTCAGCTCTCCCTGGATCTCCTGTGGCTGCCTAACTCTCCCCTGCTCTCCATCCACCCAAGGCAGTAGATTTGGGGAGGATCAATTGTCCAAGTGGAGAGAAGTGGGGCTGAGAGTGGTACTCCCTGAGATGCTGGAGGACCAAAAATTGCTCATATTAGTCCTATGGAGCAGACTGAGGCTAGTGCAGGACATATTGTGTAACACCAACCTGATGTGGGGCAGGTTACCCCGGGTGGGGTAGGGGAGGCTGAGGCTAGCACCAGGTTGGCCCCAGCAGCCTTACCTAGGGTCCTGAGGGCCTCCCGGGGTCTCCAGCAGTGGCGATCCAGCCAGGCAACAGTGGCTTCAGCTGGCCCGGCTCTGGTTTTGAGTGACGTGTGCTGCCCCTGCATGCACTGCTCCCCTCTTCTTTGTGCGGGGTTTTTTTGACCCCTGGATATGTGCGGTATGTGGCATGGGGAAGCATCCTCTGTCCCAGGCTGCCAACCTGGGACTTCAGATACTCCCAAACCCATTGGCAGGCTTCCTGCATGCAGGTCCAAGCCTGGAGGTCTTGGGATTCGGATGCCCTCAGAAACTACACGTAAGCGTCCTCCGTCCCAGACTGCTGCCACTGCCAAGTGGCTGGCTTTAAATCCTGGGTGAAGTGGGCATCAAACTGTGCCGGTATATGCCCCCTACCCCCACGCGCCTCCTGCCCACCAGTGGCACAGTTGTCTTTGTAGGGGCTGAGAGGCTGTGTGGGACTAAGGCCCTTGGCTTGTCACAGTGCCTGGGCTGATACCTGGTGGCCTGGGAAGGCTCCTCCGAAAGAGAAGCTGAAAGCTGATTTCGATGCCAGTAAGCGGGGCTGTCCGTGTGCCGGGGCCGCAGAGCGCGAGCGCGGGGCGCGGAGGTGTCCTGTCACTGAGGCGGGGGCGGAGCAGGTGGCCGGGGCCGGCTCCAGCTGTCAGCGCCGCGGCCCGCGCCCCTCCTCCGGCTCCCTGCGTGCCGCCCGCCCGCCGGCTCCGGGCAGATAATGCGGGCCGCCCG